ACTTGTACAGACGAAATATCTGATGCTCGATACGGACATACCCGTAAGATCTCCCACCGACTCAAATTAAATTTTGTGTATTGTGATCATTATTGTATTAAAATAGATATTATTACAAGGGGTTTTTAATTTTTAGAAGTTATATATTATTGTTTATGACGATAATTTCATATCAGACATATATTTGAGTAACCTCGTTAAATAAAATACTCTATTAATTTTTTCTCTACTTAAAATATACATGTGACGTGAGGGTTAGTGAGGGTTATATGTATTTTTAAAAAGAATAACTGAGAGTAATAATAATTATTACTGAGATATATAAATATTACTCCCTCCAGTCTCAAATATAAGACCCATTTTATAGTGTAATTTTTTAGTATAAATTACACTACAAAATGAGTCTTATATTTAGAACTGGAAAATAGTATGTTAAATTACACTATAAAATAAGTCTTATATTTAGAACCGGAAAGTAATATGTCACATTTCCTGGCCTTTTTTATCTTTAATTTTTATTTGTGTCTCCGTCCACCGCCTAGTCAATCACAATAAAAGAGGCGGGCAAGTCAAGCCTTTCATTATTTCTTCCGCTGCCACGAAGGGGACTGCACGATCAGTGACGAATTTTGGAATTTTCAGAGTACATTTAAAATGATTATCTCCTGTTTGATTTATAAATGATTTTTAACATTTCACATGCTTGATACATTTTGAGATTTTGAACGTATAATTGAACCAAAGAGTTAGGCATATCTAAAATATATATTTTAAAAAAAATAATAAGAATCTCTATTGTGTGGCCAAAAAAATAATAAGAAAAATTTATACTGAATAATTATTATTTTAAAAAGATCTTGCTATCCCAGGAATCAAAACGTAAAGCGTTCCATAATAACCTTCACAATATTTAAAATGCAAGCATCTTCTTTCATACATTTAATTATGAAAAGTGTTTACTTATACTGAATTAATTTAATTATAATAATTTTGACCATGTTTCACACCAACAAAATACATAAAAATACTATTCAAATTTTATATTTAAAAGAAACAATTAGATTTGTTACTATTGTAAAAAGGAGATGTAGGCACATAATCAAGATCACATAGGGATTTTCCTTATGATGCCTTATCTGTATAACGAATGAATATGGGGGCTAACGAATGCCGTATCAAGATCAGCATTATTTTTATTTGTTTTATTGATTTAATAGTGTTAAATTTATTATAATAATTATAAATAAGTTTAGCAACAAGAGTTGGTGTAGTCTTTCACAATATGACAAAACAATGTTTGAATTCTCGCTTTGAGAGGTGTCTACATTTGATGATTGACAATGCTTAGAGAAAAAAAATATAAGTAAGTTTATTTTCAGGCAAAGAATAGAGCAAGGAATTCTTTTTTCACCAAAAAAAAAACAAAGAGAGTAAGGAAATTTGGGAGTAAAGCCGCCCGAATTAAATTAAAATCACATACATTACGAAAAACTGTCAGGGAACAGGGATGTGTCGGCAGGGTTTTTTTCCCTTTGAACTTGTTTTTTGTTTGAGAACAAGGCCACAGCCCATAGCTTCTTCGGGACAAAAATCTAAGTGAGTTGGTTCAAGAAACTCGAATGTTTATGTTTCTTTTTTGGTTACGTATAGCTATCCTTCTATATTGATGATAATTCTATTCTATCGGGCACTAAATTTGGGGTAACCCTCCTAGTAGGGATTCAAACCTCATATGTTTGTATTATTTGATTATGAAAACTGTAATTATGTAATTATGTTGTTGAAGAAAAAGTGTGAACAAAAAGGCCGACAAAATGTCTCAAGATGTGTTTGTACTGTGTGGACCCAATACAGGTTATCTTATGGGTTGCTGTTTGACTCCCTACGGGTCGCAATTGTGATAAGTCGGGCTCAAAAAACCCACCTCCCTGTAGATTGGCGTTCAGCCAACCGAAGCCTATTGGAAGCAAGTTCCAGGGTTAGACTGCCAAACCGTATATCTTTTTATTTTTTTTTTTTATATTTTTCAAATATATGTTCTAAGGTCTTTGAATTAAATTATAAAATTTCACAGATTAAATTTAAATTATTTTTATCAAATAAAACTATATAATTAAATTAACTCAAAACTTGTGAATAAATAAATAATGTATTTTTCATAATTATTTTATTAATATATAGATTACAAATCAATAAATAAATTAAAAAGAGAAATCAAATTTAGAATCATCTTCTTCACAAAAATCAGGGCTATATTTAAATTAATTGAGAATAATAAATTTCTTTATCAAAATTAAAAAATTATTCTAGAGAAAAAAGTGAGCTGATTGTTCTAGCCAAAAAAAAAAAAAAAAATTGGCATGCGCAGGCTAAAAATATTTGTCTCAAAACAAGTTTTCATTCTACTAATCCAACACAACTATTTGATATATTGAGCTTGCAAACTCAATCTATATTATTATCTCCAATTCTTTGCTTTTTAAATTTCCCACATATCTTAGACTTTTTCAACTATCTAGTGGAAAATAAATGTTAAAGTTTTTCCCCCCGGGATTGGAAAAATGTTTTAAGGATTAAAACATTCGCATTGCTATGACTTACTCTTGAAAGAGACAATAAATGGTGGAAATTAAAAGCGTGTTAGTGGTGGAATGAAAACTTTTAATAAGATAATGCCCACGACCGTAACTTGCTTTTAATAATATAATCTCCATAACTAACATCTTTTATTTTTAATAATATACTTTCCACCACTAACAAACTTGCTTTTAATAATAGGGTAAAGGTAAGCCCAACACCCTCATTTATTTTTAGAGATACACCTAGCACCTTAAACTATTTAATTGTGTAATTTTATCCCCAAACTAATAAAAATGGAGCAATTCCACCCAACTTAACAGATTCCTCTTAACACTGGTTGGTAATTGACATATGGGCATTCCCCCCCCCCCGCCCAAAAAAAATAATGATAGCACTGCGTTGTGGCAGCCACAACTTGTCCATCGGAAGGTGAAAACCCAGAATTGGGAGAGGAAATTGGTGGTGAAGGTTTTCATCCCAAGATTGTGTTTCTATAAAGGTTAGAGATGGAGAGGTGGGAGAGAGAAGGGGAGAGAGGGGGGAGAGAGAGAGAGAGAGAGAGTTGCAGAGAGGAAAGAGAGGAGGATGAAGATTGCAGAGGAAATCTAGAAAGTGGCAAAGCAAAGAGTAAAAGAGCTGCGGGGCGCTCCATCTCTGATTTTAAAGCCACTTGAATCTGATGAAATTACTCACCAAGAAACAGAATGTGAGAATGGAGGGCTAAGCGCAAATAATGAAGAGAGTGCAGTACATTTCACGGCGATGCACAAGGTGTGGCCGCAACGCAGTATTCATCATTATTAAATAAATAAATAAATAAAAAAAGAAATGCCCCTCTGTTGATCAAGAGTAAGTCATAAAAAAGAAATGCCCCTCTGTTGATCAACAAACGGTGGCAAGTATTCCCCTCTTGCTCCATTTTTATTAGTTTGGGGATAAAATTACACAATTAAATTGTTGAAGGTGCTAGGTGCATCTCTAAAAATAAATGAGAGTGTTGGGCTTACCTTTACCCTATTATTAAAAGCAAGTTTGTTAGCGGTGGAAAGTATATTATTAAAATAAAAGATGTTAGTTATGGAGATTATATTATTAAAGGCAAGTTACGGTCGTGGGCATTATCTTAGTAAAAGCGCGTTTGTTATGGAAAGGGGCAAAAGAAAAAGGTTGCCTAATAAAGTGGCTCCTATCCTGACCACACAATCATGAAATTTTGACTTGCTAGTCAATGAAATTGAGTATGACCAAAGGATTAAAGCTTCCCCCCACTTTGTAGAATGGAAGTCATTGGGAAATTTACGTTTCGTGATAGCTGGGTGAGGGACTCTAATGGCCCACGCCCCCAATACTTTACATAATTAATGCCTTATCTTCCAAATTTGTTTTTTTTTTATTCCTTACAATGGTATAATTGTGTTTTTCTTTGATAAATTTTTTTGGCTAAAATATAGATTTGATTCTTTAAGTTTAGGTTAAGGTATGTTAATTTTATATAAAGTTTCAATTGGGTTCATTAACTTTAAAAAACATAATCATTAGTCTTAAATGATATTTTTCTGTAATAATCATGATTGTTTTGAAAATTAAACTTAATATATTAGCATTTAAGAATATTTTATTAACATTCAAGATCTTAATATTATCATTTTTTTTGTTAATACTTTTAGGATTAAAGGATTAAAAATATACTTCTTAAAGTTAAAAAGATTAAATTTAAACCTTGTATAAAGTTGAAAGTATACTTTAACCTTAAGTTTATCTCAAATTTCAATTTAGTCTCTTAAGTTTATAAAATATATTTTTAGTCCTTCAACCTTAAGGTCCTTACTCTCATTCAACGGATAATGTTGATCCAATAAATTTAAATAATCAAATAAATTTAAATAGTCATCTTGCAATCAATGTTGACAGAACATGCTCTAAATTGTTTTTTTTAATATAATCATTTTTATAGATAATTAATTTTTTTAATATTTTATCATATATCTAATTCTTTAAATTTTTAAAATTTTAAAATATAAGAATTAATTATGTTGAAGGATTAAAATTTAGAATATGTCTTGTACGCTAACATTTAATTACAAGATCACTATTTAAATTTGCTAAGTTAGCAATTCCATTAAATGAGACTAATGGTATTAAGATTAAGGGATTGAAAATACACTTTTTAAATTTAAGGCATCATACTGAAATATGAGATAAATTTTAAAAAAATAATCATAGATTTATAATGTTTTCTTATTTTAGTTAGAAGGAAATAATGAAAAAAGAATAATAATGAAGGGTTTGCGCATTACAAATTACAAAATATATTAGAAAATTAGAAAGTGGGGTTAATTAAAGGCGTGTGAAAAGAAGTGTCGTTATTAGTTATCACTTGATTTACTAGAACCCGTGCAGAAGCAGCATTGGGCAGAAAGATGGATATGCCATTTCTGAAACTGCTATTCTATCATCTCCTTCTCACCTCCTTCAATCTCGCTTCTTCTGAAGTAGACATCCCGGCTTACTATGATCACAACTGCACCATTAATAAAAACTTCACTTCCAATAGCCCCTACCAGTTCAACCTCAACACTCTTTTGGCTTCCTTGTACACCACGGCCACTGGCGCTGGCTCTAAAGCGAATCCTGAATTCTTCAACACCACTGTTGGCAGCCCAAACACGAACGAAACTGTATATGGAGAGTACATGTGCCGAGGAGACGTCCCAAGTCAGGTCTGTCGAGACTGCGTCCAGGACGCCGCAAGCAGAATAGTCTCAGAGTGTCCCCACAATAAAGAGGCAATCATCTGGTACGACCAGTGCTTCCTCCGCTATTCCCATCGTTCTTTCTTCTCCACCCTCTACCAACAGCCTACAGTTAACGGGATGGAATCTGAAAACAGAAGCCGGATGGGATCTGAAAACAGAAGCTGGATGCAATCTGAAAGCCAAGGCGGGACGCATGGCATGGTGGGAAACGGACACGGTCCTGGAAACTCAGACGATGCAAACTCATATGAAGAATTCAACACGATGTTGAATGAAACAGCGGTGGAGGCAGCTACATCATCAGGTACCAAGAAATTTTCAACCAAAGAAGCAAACCTCAGTAGTTGGGGATCCGTGTATACTCTTGTCCAGTGCACACCGGATCTGCCTTCACAACTCTGTAGTGAGTGTCTCCATGGCATGATCGAACTTATTCCAACCCCGCACAGTGGAATGCGGGGAAGAATTCTGAATCCGAGCTGCAATTTGAGACTCGACACAGAGCGATTTTATTATAAGGGCAACCAGCCTCCCTCTGATGTTTCTTCCACTCAAGGTACGTAGTGTCACCGTTTTTTTTCCCCCCCTTGTTTGCACAGCTTGATGAGGAAAACCAAGAGGAGAAGACGACAACGACGAGGAGATTCCCTGCATCGTCCACATATTTAATCTTTTCAGGATTTAAGATTTATACATCTTATGTTTCTGTACATGCTGATGTATTTTTAACTGATTTTGCCTATTTTTTTAAACTGAAGACATGATTGAATTTTTAAGAACTTATTATCCGATGAAAGTAATTTTGAAAAAGAAAAAAATTTGTTGAAATAATTATCCATAATCATAAACATTTTGTTTCTTTTTGTTAAACAGCGCTTGGGAGTCCTACTCTTACAGATTGGGACTGCTCACCCACCGACACCTGGAGTGCTAAAGATCCCTACCCAAACAACCTCAAAAGTCTCACCCGCCAACTCTTCAAGTTGTCCAACAACACCAAAAACAATGGATTCTACAAAATTAGCATCGGAAACAAGTCCGACACCGTCTACGGCCTCTTCATGTGTCGAGGTGATGTGCCCCTTAAGCTCTGCAATGAATGCATCGTGGAAGGAATCGTGAAACTAAACGACACATGTCCCTCTTCTAAGGAGGCTATCATTTGGTATGATAAGTGCATGCTTCGCTATTCCAATCGCTCTTTCTTCTCTACCCTAGACACACAACCTATATATGCAGTAACTGGTGGGTATACGCTTGGAACCCAAACAGAGGGCTTCAATCGGCTATTAGCGAATACACTAAACAGTTTAGTGGCGGCGACGTTGAACTCATCACCGCATGCAGGAGTGAAAAATTTTGCAACAAAAACAGAATTCAGCTCTTCAGAATTGACAACGTTGTACACTCTTGCACAATGTACTCCGATCCTGTCCAGCCAAGATTGTGAAAAATGTCTAGGGGTTGCTCTGCAAAATATCACGTCATGTTGTCTCGAAAGGAAAGGAGGACAAGTCATGAATCCTAGCTGCAACTTGAGGTTTGAATCGTACCGATTTTATAATGACAGTAAGAGTGATGCTTCGGTTCCACCTGCGTATCCCCCAAATACTAGTGGTGTTTTGGAGCCACCTGCCCATCCCCAAACTCCCAAAGTTTCAGGAAATGCAGGTAATGTTACTGGGGATCTAATCATTTGTGTCGCGGAGATACGTCACTACGTATAAATTGATATTCTTAATTCCCTCTCAATTTTGTGCTTACAAATCTTCTCCATTTCTTATCTATGGCATGCAAATACACACTCATTTACTTTACGCGGGAAAAGATAACGACCACTCACGAACAATCATAATAGCGGTGTCCGTCACTACTGTGGTCTCAATCATGCTTTTTTGTTTCGGCTTCTGTTACTGGAAGATTAAGAAGAGCAAGAGTTATAAGGAGATTTTGAAGAAAAACTGTATGTATGCTGTTTTTTTTTTAATTTCTTTTTAAAAAACAAAAACAACTCAGTCAACTGTGAGAAAAATCATATTATTGTAGTGTACTTACCGTGAAATATACTTATGTTTATAGTTGGAAGCGAAGGAGCCACATTAGAGTCATTGCAGTTCAATTTGGCAACAATTGAAGCTGCAACAGATAAGTTCTCGATTGAAAATAGAATAGGCAAAGGTGGATTTGGAGAAGTCTACATGGTAATTTGATTATGCGTTCAAACATATGGGTGTGTTTATATATATGTTGCATGTATATCCTAAGCCCTCATATCTAACTACATCATGATTTCAGGGCATTCTTCCTGACGGTAGCAAAATAGCAGTAAAGAGATTGTCAGAAAATTCTAGTCAGGGATTATTAGAATTCAAGAATGAGGTTCTACTAATTGCCAGACTTCAACATAGAAACCTGGTGGCATTATTAGGATTTTGCTTAAAAGATCAAGAGAAAATACTTATTTATGAATATGTTCCCAACAAGAGCCTTGATTACTTTTTATTTGGTTTGTCCTTTCTAACCAAGCTCATCTTACCATTTTTCAATTTTTTTATTCATGCACGTGCTATCCATTTTTTTATTACTCTTTGAGGTGAACATATTTTTGTTGGTATAGTCATTAATTTGTTTTTAATTTAGACATAAATGTATGCGACGTATCTGTCATTCATTTGTATACTCACAAAGTTATTTAATTATACATTTAGGTTCACAGAAGTCAAGAGTGTTAAATTGGTTGGAGCGTTATAAAATTATAGAAGGAATTGCTCGAGGAATTCTTTATCTCCATGAACATTCACGTCTAAAAGTAATACATCGAGATCTCAAACCTAGCAATATTTTGCTAGATGATGAAATGAATCCAAAAATTTCTGACTTTGGCATGGCAAGAATGGTTGGTATTAATGAAACTAGAGGAAACACAAATAGAATTGTTGGAACATTGTGAGTTCTCTCTCCCTTTCTAACTATCTCCCTACTTGTGCGCATGTGTGTATGTGTTTATTTGTATATCGCGTATGCACTTTACTGTTGAATTTAAATATTGGTACAACATATAGTTCAAATTATCTGGTTCTAAGATTCCAACAAATATATTGACATTTTCATGTGTGATTTTATATATCTATTGTAGGGGCTACATGTCTCCAGAATACATTAAGTTTGGACTATTTTCTGAGAAATCAGATGTTTACAGTTTTGGAGTCATTGTTTTAGAAATTGTAAGTGGAAAGAATATACACTCTCAATGTGAATCTCATGAATCTCAATATACTGGCGGACTCTTAAGTGATGTAAGTATAGCAAACTTGTACTATTTCTCAAATGATCATCTCAAACCTATCATCATTGTCATTATCATAAGCATCAACCAACCATTGAAGCTTATGTTAATAATATTCTATAATCAAATTGGTAGCAGAGCCTTTTTGTTAAATGAATGATTTGCATAATGGTAGGCTTGGAAGCATTGGAGGGATGAAAGATTGACAGCTATATTGGATTCGAATCTGACAGAAGCTGGGTCACATGGTGAAATAATCAAATGCATCCATATCGGCTTGTTGTGTGTCCAGGGAAATCCGGGAGCAAGGCCTTCCATGAATAAAGTTGTTCAATATCTGAATAATGATTCAATGCAATTGCCAATTCCTCAAGAACCAGCATTCTTCATCCACAGTCAAATGGAACCAGCAGCAACCAGTAGAGAAATGGAGGCTCGACTTGGCAACCACAATCAATATTCCATCAACGAAATGTCAGAGAGTATAATATCTCCTCGCTAGATATATTATAGGAGGCTTCAACTTTTGTTTTTATTTTCTCATTGCATACGCATGGTCTTATTTTTAAAATATGTGTGCAATAACAATTCGGTTTTTGTCTTTATTGGCCCCTTTCCTATTCGTCTGCCATCCATTATAAGAGGCTCTATCTTTGTATTTATGCAATACTTCATTGTTGTAGATACCAAACGGAGCATTGGTGTGTTTATGAAAAAGAAGAAATAATAAAAGCCTCAACGACACTTCATTTCAGAGCATGTTGCCTTGTTTTGGTACAGTACGTAAAAATACTTGTGCTCTAATTAACAAGGTACCAAATTGAGTCTTGGTGGGCAAGGGCAAGATGAAATAAAAGCCTCGTACCACTGATGCTACCAAATATTAAGATGTACTACAAGTGTACAGGTCACAAAAATATATAGTAACAAATCATGGTCGATCATACAAAAACTTAGGTAACAGTGATTAGACAATAAAAATCCTCTTTTCGTTTAAATTGATAAATCAAAGTTTCATGAAATTGAGTGAAAAGAAATTAAAATAAATAAAACAGTGCTTTCTCAAATTACTAGAGCAAACATTAAAAAAACCAACCTAAAGTCACTAATCCCTTATTGGCTTCTTAAACCTCATTTCACTGAATTGATTAGTTTTAATGTTAATTTTATTGATCTAGAGTTTAATTAGTTATAAGGGCTCCACTTATAACTTTCTTTTAAATTAATTTTGTAATCTCTCACAATTATTTAAGAGGCTAAACAATTCAGTCTCACTTATCAACAGTTATATAGGGCAATTAGGTATATTTCTTTTCTAATCACAAATTAGATTCTCATCTAATCCCATATTTTGAAATCCCTTTTGTTAAAGATAATTTTAATTCTCAAATTTACAATTAATGGTGGCTAATCATCAAATCAACAATAAAGAACAAGATTAAGTAACCAAAATTTAACATTAAGCATTCTCAATCCATTAAAAACAAAATTTAATCCATTAGCAAGTTCATAGTTCCTCTATGTTGAAAAGAAAATTAGCTAAACGTGAATATAATCAGTCCCAACTCTAAAGCAACAATCTCAAATGCGAAACCCATAGTGAAAATCAAAAGTAAAGGAAGCAGGAACCGAAACAGAGAAACAGGGAATCAAAATATTGCTCAGGTATAGCTCGAGTGTTTCAGCTTGAAGATGATGAACAGTTGCTCTTCTTCCTCAACTGTTAACTGACGGCATCTCTCTGTTTTCAGATCAGAAAATCACCGTGCCTAGTCTCTCCTCTCCGGCTCCGTCGAAATCGTCCTCCTCAGCTCCGATCTCTGCTACTGGATCCCTCTAGTCCAGAACCAGCATTGGCGACCTCCTCTCGTCTTTGACCTCCTCTGCTGAACCCGTCGACCGAGCCCCAAAACTTGAGAAGCAGAGCGTCAACGTCCTCCTCAAAACGCAGATTAGAAGATGAAGATCCCAGGAGATATTCCACAGTCCGAAAGGGAGCCTCCTGTCACTTCCAGTTTTCTCTCCAAGCCAGTTCGGCGCCGTCTTCACACAACCCGCCTCCCAGACGATGATGAACGGTGTCGTTAGGTATCCAAAAATGGTCGCCCCAAAACGCTGCGTCCGACCTTTCTCACAAACGCTGTCGTCCCTCCTCAAATTCCAATCTTTATTTCTTCAAACGGTGCGTTGATGTCTTCTTCATGAACCTCTTGTGCAGCACGTGAAAGCTGATGGAAGAGAGAAAATAAAATAAAACAAATAAAAGAGAAAAAGCTGAAAAATAAAATAAAAAAGGGAATAACTTACAAGAAATTGAAATACGATAAGATAAAATCAACTAAATCTTAAACCTAAAATTATTCATTTTTATTTATTTCAAACTAAGATATTTATAATAAAATCTCCCAAATAATGCTCACAATTAATTTCTTTTCAAATCTCTTTTAAATCATCCAAAATCCTATTGATAACTTCTCAAAAATCACTCAAAATATTCGTTTAAGATATTTAAAATAATGAGTTATCAACTACAGATAGAATTCACTTATAGATACTCCTCTGGTTCTTAATATAAGACTCAAGTCTTGAGTTGGTTTGATTTTAAATATAAGATCAATTTCTTATATTTGTCAATTTTTCTAAATGACCCCTATGGATACTCCCTCAACTATAATCAAGTAGAAGAGGGAGAGTGGTATTAAAAAAGATGCACTACTACAAAATTAAGAATATTTGACAGTTATTTTTGTTCATATTTGACTGTTTAGAACCGTCAAATAAGAAGGCGTCAAATATTTTCAAAATTAATATTTGACGGTTATGAATTGTCAAATATTCTTAGAAATATTTGACGGTTCTTTGTGAATAACTGTCAAATATTCTTTGAATATTTGACGGTTTTTTTGTTAATAACTGTCAAATAATATAATCTTATTTGACAGTTTCTTACCAACAACTGTCAAATAAAGTCACCTTATTTGACGGTTCTTCATGAAGAACCGTCAAATAAGGTAAAGTATAAAAAAATATTTTTATTTAATTTTATATAATTATTTTTAATTATTTATTTCTTTTCATTTTTTTACTATTAATATTTATTATGATGTACAATATAATTATTCAATAATAATAAGAGAATAATATTAAATAAACAAATATATTTATAGAATTTAAAATCTAATACATTAGATGTAAACATCATAAAATTTGAAAATAATCAATCACTGAGCACTCCTATACAAAAGAACATTCTCTTATAAATCTTTTGAATTCTAAAATAAAATTCTATTAATAAAAAATTCCTAAAAATTGGTTCTTGATCAAACACCATAGTACAAACTCTACTCTTTGCTTATGCACCCATAGCCTTCTGTTGCCTCAAGCTGCCTGAAAAAGGTAAATTGGATGTATGAGAAAAGTATAATACTTGAAAAATAAGTTCTGTTGTGCTAGATTTAAATTGGTCTTTTTCTAAACTATGCAAAACTCTTAATATTTGTCCAAATCTCTTATAATAAAAAAAGGATACAACCTAGAAAAAAAAAAGATGAAGAGAGCCAAGAAGAAAAATTTAATGAATGACTGAAAAAATGCAACCCAAATTACCTTTCCAATTAATTCAATTCCTGACAATTTAGGTTTCTTGGTTAAGGTGAACATCCTTTCTACATTGCCATCATCTCCAATAAATGAGAGACGAAGATAGCAGTATAAGACTCAAGTCCCCCTGTAAGCAATTCAAGAAAGAACAATACCATATTAATGAACTTGATAGCAGTATGGTATAAGACTCAAGTTCCCCTGATAAATTCACATTGGATATAGCCTCTGATGTAAACTAGTAAAACTGCAATAATAAACATTAGCAAAACAGAATTTTCCGCCGTCAAGTTATTCAAGTGCAAAATATGGTCCAAAACATGAAAAAAAAAAAAAAATTTCCTAGCCAGAGTTATGATTATGGATAAGTTTGGTTAGGAAGATATACTTCAATAAAAGGTGTCTACAAAGAAAGAAGTTAAGAATGAAGCAGCACTATGTGCGACAGGGCTCCTGAAGTGTTTTTCCCCCTCATCAATGCAAGAGATTTGCATGATATGAATATCAGATTTGGGTTGAAAGACATGAAAGAAGCTTGTCAAAAGTTAAGAGAAGATTATCAAACACTTTGTTTGTCAACATTCGGCAAAGCAAGAAGGTTATATGCTCCGTTTGGATAGCCTATAAAGCAACTTTAATAAAAGGCAAAAATCTAAACAGGAACCACATTAATTGTTCAATAGGTTGAAAGAAAATGTTTTCAAGAGAGAGAACTCTAGTACGAATAATAAATCTAATATCAAGGACATCAATAATAATAAAATTCCATACAGAAGAAGGAAACACGCCACAGGCTTCCTTAGCATAAGTTAGATTTCCGAGCATCATCTCAGAAAACTTTTACATAGAAATAGTTCACTATTGCTCTTCTTCTTCAATCAATTATTTGCCATTTATTTCCACTTTATCCTCTTTTTTCCAATATTCTTCAACTCTGCTAAATCCCTACAAAGTGAAGATTTTGATAAGGAAAATTATTGTTTTGTAATGGGACTTCCTATGTGTGCTTATTTCCTCAAATCTCGCATTTGCTGTTAATTGTTCCAATTTACATGCCGAAAAGATAGAAGGAAACCAAAACCATTCCAAATCTTCAGAAAGTAAACCCATAGCTAAATTTTGTTAAAACTAAATATGAAAATGAACTATTTTAGCAAGAAATGCTAGCATCTAACTGCCCCTCGATCACTAGCCGGAAGACATATATCTATTTATATATCATATTTTTCTCGAAAAGAAAGGACAATTGAATCCAAAGTCGAGCAAATCAAAGAAAGGACATCAACACTCAGGTCGAACGCCTATAACAAAAGAACGCTACTAAGAAACAACCGACAGTCAGTAAAGAGCTCACAAACAACAAAACTATGAAGAATCGAGGCAGAATTATCATGTATTATTGGGAAATAAAAAGTAACAAAAACAAGAAGCCGAAAAGCACAGATAATTGAAACAGGGATAGCAATGATAAAGAACAAAGAGCAGCAGCAACTAATTGAGGACCGAAATCTAGCATACCAGGTGAAAATTTCTGAGGAAAATGCAGAAAAGTGAAAAGGAGAAACATCCAGGAGCGAGAAGTAGTCAAGTCTTCAGGGCGTCATTCTCATAATACGAGGGACACATTAGTCCTGGTATCCTATATCGGTGATATAACGCGATAAAAATCTGTTCATCAGATCTGAGGTACTGCAACACAAGATGGAGAGAGTAAGAAACCAAGCGAGTAGCGGAAGAAACGTTATGTGACCTAGCACAAAACTTTCCTTTCTCAAATTCTTTGAAAAACATAATATATGAGAACGAAATCAACCAATCCCCTGTATAATCCACAGCGAGAGCAACGGCCAACGTAGGTTCGATTTCGACCTCTTCTCATCGTGTTTTTAGGTTCTTGAAGGAAAGGATGAAAAGAAGGATAAGGACGAGAGAGGGCTTTAGCATCAGTAGAGGGATCGAGAGTGAGGAGTTTGATTTTAGCTCCTCTCCTCCATGAAGCGGTGTTAGACTCTTGAAGGAAATGGGAAGGGAAGATGGATGAGAGGGCGAAGTAGAGAGCTTCGGCGTGAGAAGAAGGGTGAGAACAAGCTTTAATGAGGATGACCTAAAATCTCAATGAGTAAATTTGACGGTTATTTAATTTAACTGTCAAATAAATATTTTAAATTTAGTAAACTTGACGGCTTTAAAAAAAAATCGTCAAATATTTGATGAATACTTGACTGTTCTTTTTAAAACCATCAAGTATTTTCAAAGAAAAATTTACGGTTCTTTTTAAAACTGTCAATTTTTCTTCTGGTAAATTCCGTCTCACTTTATTTGACAGTTTTTATTATAACCGTCAAGTATTTAGGGTCAAGTATTGATAATTCTGTAGTAGTGATGATTATGATATTTTAGAAAAAATGTCATTTTTCTTATAATTAACTAACTTATCTAACTTCTTTAATTTAATCAAATTAGTTAAATGGGTCTTATATCAAGGACCGACAAATTATTTGATTAATAGATCCTTGGACTTTCGGTACCATGCTCCTTGTGGCCCTCTAGAGAGAGAGAGAAGGTTCTTGTGGAAATGGCAATTGAGTTGACGGGGTGTTTGGGTAACAACCCAACTATGGTTTTCAAAGTGATTTTACAGTCTACGAAATAAATATGTGTGTTTCCAAACATCCCCTGAATCATTGCCAAGACATGAAACAACTGTAGCCGTAGAAGGCCTTGCTTCTGGATTTTCTTGAACGCATAACAACCCAATTTGGATGCACTTGTTCACTTCGTTCAACAATTCACATTCATTTAGATTTGAATCCAAAATCTCTAATATCTTTTCTTCCTTCCATTGATTTCAAGCCCGCAACAATTTAGTAAACTTAGCTATTTTAATCATCACCCTTTTATTATTTCACACAATATTGTTCAGATAATCTCTCTCATATTTAAGACAATTACATAGGTAATATTATTACAGCGTAATAAAATTAACTTACATTGTTTAGGAGACCATGAGATTGACTGGGAGAACTTGTGATCTTCGTTCCACTAAAAATTTCTAATACTATTACTCCAAAACTAAAAACATCTAATTTTTCTGAGTGTTGTCCAAACATTGCATACTCTAAAAACATAAAACCACTGAAAAAAATAAAAATATCAATTATATCTTCTTTCCAATAGATAACAAGCAACACGCTTGGACATTTCAAATGAAAAAAAAATGGAAGGCGAAGTTTTATATGTCAGCTGAGGCAAAAACTTTTTTTCATTTAACCATATATCATGATAGATATAGATAGTTTGAAGGGAAAATCTTATAAATTACTATGTTCCAACAATTTTATTTGTACTTCCTTCAATTTCGTTGATTCCAACCATCCTAGTCATGGCAAAATCTGAAAATTTTGAATTCATTCCATCATCTAATAAAATATTGTTAGGTTCCATATCACCATGTATAATTTTAACTCGAGAATAATCATGAGGGTAAAGAATTCCTCTAGCAACTCCTCTGATAATTTTGTAACGTTCCTCCCCGTTTAACACTTTGCTTTCCTGAGAGCCTGTACATATATAAAGCTATCGTTAATGACCAGACTGACAAATTAAATAAAGATAATTGAAAACAAGTAGTTAACTTTAGCATATATGAGACAGCGAATGTCAAATGATTAATAAAACGCATGTGTATAAATTTCGACGAAGAGTTAAAATGAGTTTAGAAGAGTCTAACCAAATAGAAAGCAGTCAAGACTTTTGTCGGGAACATGTTCATAAATGATAATGCAAAATCCTAGCAAGGCCACCAAATTTCTATGCTGAAGTCTAGCTAGCTATTGACAAAACTTCATTCTTAAATTCTTCTGGTCCTCGGCCAGAACTTTTTGAATGTCTTTTTACAGCTGTCTCTTAAACATTTGAAAGAATTCCCTGAAGTCATGGTTAAATTAAATAGGAAAAACAATGTAACCAATACTATATGTATATTATAACATTTACATTGACGGCATTTCTCACCTTGTAAACTTGTCCAAATCCACCCTGACCTAAACTCGCTTCCTTTGAAACCTTATTTGTTGCTGCTTCAACCGTAGCCAAACTGAATTGCAGAGGCTCTAATGTGTTGCTTTCGCTTCCAACCAGACAAACAGACCCAAAATATTAAAGTATGTACTCGAAGAAGTGTCGCCACTCCTCCAACTAGCAAGACAGACACTATGATGAACAGTAAAGAGATAGAACGAAAATTAATTACATACAGTATTTTTGCATGAGAAAAGCCATACGTGTCTTCTTTATTTGATCCGTCGATAAATAGTCGGTGAAATATGAAAGTATCACGGCACCAACAGGAGAAACCACAGCTATCACAATGGTCTTTAATCGGCTTTTACTTTTTACTGTATATTTGGCACTTCCACGTCCCAGTGTCACTCATCATTGCTATCTCTCTACAATACTGATAAGGGCATTGAAGCTTAAGCTAAAAGCCATTAGAGACTTTAATTTATCTAACCTCCAAGCAAGTCAATATTTTGGGTCATGTGCGAACAGAATCTAATATGAATCATCTTAACTTTGAAGTGGATGCATGTTTCCCCCTTCCCAAAAACTTACGTCGGTGGAACAGCAGGGCGCAAAAGCGACCGTAGGGTCGTTTCTGCGTTTCGCGCTTGCCAGTGTGATTTCACTATTTTAGGGTAGCATGTCCGATTCCAAATTGACTTGCATGGAATGACTTTACCGTTCCATGTGGATATTTAATGTATTCAGTGATTTAAATGTTAAAATATCTAAAAAGAATAATTTAATGAATTTAGCTTAATTGAAATAAAATATTATTAAAATACATTTGAACTCCATGCTTTATTTTATGGAAAAAATAATATATTATTCGATTTCTAACTTGAACTTCCTTCAAAAATTAATATAACAGTAATGGAAAATATAGTATTGCATAATACTAATATCATGATTACTATATATGTTGACTCTCCTCATTTTGGTGCATTAACATAAAAATACTTCTTCTCTAATTGACAGGGTACCCAATTGAGCATCGGTGGCCAAGCACAAGATGCAATAAAAGCCTTGTACTACCGAGGATAGAATTCACTTATAGACATTTCATTAATTGATTCTTTACTGTCGGTATTAAGCTCCATTTGGCCCTCCAGAAAGAATGCAGGTTCTTGTGGAAATGGCAATTGAATTGAATCATTGCTAAGATATGAAACAACTGTAGCCATAGAAGGCCTTGCTTCCGGATTTTCTTGAACACATAGCAACCCAATTTGGATGCACTTGTCCACTTCATTCAACAATTCAGGTTCATTTAGACTTGAATCCAATACATCTAATATCTTTTCTTCGTTCCATTGATTCCAAGCCTGCACCAATTTAGTAAGCTTAGCTATTTTAATCACTGCCTTTTAATTATCTTATATTAATCTCTCAAATTTAAGACAATTACCCATGAAATACTAGTGAGATAAACACATTATCATAATTAATTAACTTACATAGTTTAGGAGGCCATGAGATTGATCTTGAGAGCTTGTGATCTTCCTTCCACTGATCATTTCTAATACTATTACTCCAAAGCTAAAAACATCTGATTTTTCAGAATATTGTCCAAACATTGCATATTCCGGAGACATATAACCACTAAAAAAAACAAAATATCAATCATAGACTTTTTTCCAGTAGATAGTAAGCAACATACGTGGACATTTCAAGCGCTACACTTGTTGTTAATTTTTTGTTTTAAAAAAGGAAGCTGTAGTGCTTTTTTTTTTGGGAGCGATGGGCATGTAATGTTTCCTAAATAATACTGATTTGAAAAAATAAGTGCTATAGTTGTAATATATGTAGTAGTAGAACTTTTATGTCAACTTAGGCCAACTTTCCTTTATGCAACCATATCATGATAGCTGTAAAAAGTTTGAAGGAGAGATTTAGAACTTACTAGGTTCCAACAATGTTACTTGTACTTTCCTCAATTTCATGGATTCCAACCATCCTGGCCATGCCAAAATCTGAAATTTTTGGGTTCATTTCATTATCTAACAAAATATTGCTTGGCTTGAGATCACGATGTATAATCTTAACTCGAGCATAATCATGAAGGTAAAGAATTCCTCGAGCAACTCCTCCTATAATTTTACATCGCTCCTCCCAATTTAGTACTTTGATTTTTTGAGAACCTATACATAAAGTTATCATTAATGACTAAACTAACAAATTAAATAAAGATAGTTGAAAATAAGTAATTGACTTGAGCATATTCATAAGATAGAGAAAGTTAAATAATTATTAACACGCATGTATATCAATTTCAATCAAGAATTAAAATGAGTTTAGAAGTGTCTAACCAAATAGAAAATAATCAAGACTTTTGTTGGGAACATATTCATAAATGAGAATTTTCTCTTGCTCTTCTATGCAAAATCCTAGCAAGGCCACCAAATTTCTATGCTGGAGTCTGGCTATTAATAAAACCTCGTTCTTAAATTCTTCTACTCCCTGGCCAGAACTTTTTGAAAGTCTTTTTACAGCTATTTCTTGACCATTTGAAAGAATGCCCTGAAATCATGGTTAAATTAATTAGTAAAAACGGTACATATATTGAATTATATATTACAATATTTCCATTGGCACTGCCTGCTTTCTCACCTTGTAAACTTGTCCAAATCCACCCTGACCTAAACAATTTTCCTGTGAAAACTTATTTGTCGCGGCTTCAATCGTAGCCAAACTGAATTGCAGAGGCTCTAAAGTGTTGCTTTCGCTTCCAACTAGACAAATAAACCTAAATATTAAAGTATACTAGAGGTATCACCACTCCTGTGAAGAGATAGAATGAAAATTACTTACAGTATTTTTGCATGAGAAAAGCCATACGTATCTTCTTTATTTGATTCTTCGACAAATAGAAGGAGAAACATAGAAGTATCACAGCACCAACAGGAGAAGCCACAGCTATCACAATAGTCCTTAATCTCCTTTTCCTTCTTACTGTATGAACATCAGATACTTCCACGTCTTAATGTCACTCATTATCACTTTCTCCCTAAATTACTTTTTTTGTCATAAATATAAGACTCATTTTATAGTATAATTTGCCTTATAAAATGGGTTTTATATTTAGGACTGGAGGGAGTATTAATCAGCACATTGAATCTTGAGCTAAAAGCCATAAGAGACTATATATCAACCTCCAAGCAAGTCAACTTTTGAGATTGTCAAGAAAATCTAATATGAAAGCGATTTTCAAAATAATTCAGGGAAGCATGTTAGATTCTCTTCACACATGACTCCAAATTGACTTGAAGGGAGCGACTTTTCAGATTCTCTTACACATGATTCCAAATTGATTTAAAGGACTTCCTTAAAGATCTCGATGCATCCTTGCTATGAGGTCAAAAAATACAAGTTAGTTAATTTAATAGAAGAGAACATTATCATTTAGTTAATTTAATAGAAGAGAACATTATCATTTTCAGATATAAAAAGCTTCATATATATGCCCCACCTATAAAGTTTCATCTTTCTCCCTTGATATTTTAAAATCTCAAATACATATTTTCCAGAATATGTGTTGTGCTCTGATTTTTGTTTTTTGTTTTCTTTTTTTGGTTGGGGTGGTAATTTATTATGCTCTTATATTGGTAGTTGAAAGAATAAAATATTATTAAAAAATATTTAAACTTCTCGAATAAGTTTCGGGTCTTTATTATTGTATGAATAAAATAATAATATACTATTTAATTTCTAACTCGTACTTCCTTCAAAAATTGAAATTATTTCTTTTACGTGTTTGACCACATATGTCCTCAATCTATATATACATATCTTTCATATACAAAAAAAAATCGATGAGAAACTAAACTATGAAATGGTCATGAGCATGAGACTTTAATTAACCTGGCTAGCTAGTTCTCACAAAACCAGAAATTTACAGTTAAATGGGAGTATATGCCAAAATCAGCATCCATAATATTTTCATCAATAGATTTACTCTAATTTACATAGAAAACAGAAATCAGAAAAGCACATAATTAAGCTTACCATCTGAAGGAGTTGGAGGAGTTAATGGAGCCGGAGGAGGAGGAGGAGGCGGAGGCGGAGGGGGCAGCCTTACTGGCCGGAGAGGCGTAGAAGAATTAAAGAACATATACAGCTCATAGCGAGCGAAGCAACTTGGATATGCCACTCTTCCTCCGATCTTGCCCTCACAACACCATGGAAGGTTCCCGATCACACCACTCAGACACGTTCTGCAATCTCCCGGCGAAAGGTCCGGCGTGCACTGAACCATCACATACAGAGTTTGAATATCTACCACCACCGCTTTCGTCGCCGACTTCTTTTTCATCAAAGCAGGCTTCGCCGCTTCATCTGCCGTCAGGTTCATAACAGTCATCAATACGTTCATGAATCCTGCCTGGTTCGAGACATTGTTAGTGTTCAACATTTTGAGTTTAGGCTTTCTATCGACGGTGGAGAAGAAGTTGTGCTGAGAATAGCGAACCAAGCACGGGTCAAGCCAGTTTACAGCCGCCTTCGAAAATCTGCAATAGTAAGCTAACTCTGCAGTTGACTCAACGACGCACTGGTGGCATGCGTCTTGGTTGACGTCGCCCCGGCACATGAAGAGGCCGTATATGGTCTCGCCACCGCCGTCAACGGTGGTGTTGTAGAAGTCGAGGTGGGCGGTTTCGTTGGAAGTTAAGGAAGAAAAGAGGGTGTTGAGGTTAAAGTCGAAGGTGCTATTGGCGGTGAAATTGTGGTGGGTGGAGCATTGAGGGTGAAGAGAATTACGACCTATGACTTGAGCAGAAGAAGAATGGAGGAAGCCGATGAAGCAGAGTAACAAAATTATGATGTTGAAAGGCATATTGTTAAGGTGTGTTGGTGGTATTATTTTAGACGAGGCGAATGCTTTATAGTTTTGAAGAGTTTGATTTATGACTGAGTGAATTTCAATGACAAGTGAAGGGGGGAATTCAATTTAGGTGATCCTAATCCAAGTGATGGACATGAAATCTCTACCGTTCCCATTAAAATTAAATAGGCCACATATTAAGATCATTTATTTTATATTCTTAACAGTTTAAAATTTTAATGTGTATAAGATTTAAAATAAAAATTATCTCTTAATTGTTAAAACCACTATTTCGGGAAAAAAGATAATGATAAATTTAAACTTGCTTGGATCAATTAAATTTCTCTCATAAAATTTAGCCAAGGCTTATCATGCGGAGACCGTGCTATGAAGGACTATCAATAGAGATAGTAGGAAGGAAGGCTACCTAAAGTCGCGCCACATGAGATTGAGACTACGACTACGACAATCGTGTAAAACTGATAATTATATAGTTAAACTTTATATTCAACTATATAGCATTTAACTTATTTAAACCCTGAATATTTTCAGATCTTAATCATTATTAGTAATATTTTTCAAAATGTAATTTACAAAGCCCCTGCTCACATTCAAATGAATTATGAACTCCGATGTGCTCAGAGGTACTCTATTTATAATTGTTTTTGTTGATTTTCCATAAATAATTATTTAATATCCGCTCATAATATTGAAATAGTCTTATTAATATGTGTTCATTTTGATCTGGCAAGTTTTTCAAACATAGAACAATAATTTCCCAACCAACTTCATTAATTAAAGCGCGCATAGAGCGCAGTTGACCTCAAAAATCTTTTGAGAATGCTCCAAAGCCAGTCCAGCTTGACCCGCAAGTGATCAAATAAATCAAATAATACAGTTTGGAATTTCAGTCCGTCCTCATTTTTTTTCATTTTGAGAAATTAAATAATATTGTTGTTTTCAATCACAGATAATGAGCAATAATTAATGGCGCATGCCAAGGTGTCATCCAAGAAGAACGCAAAGATTTCTTGTGATCATATTAGACAAGGTAATAGGTATGTCTTCCCCTTTGTGACAGCAAAGATGAACCGTGCTATTCATAATTTCGCATAAAAAGTAAATTTTTTTTATATTAACGATATTTGATATTGATTTAATGCTATCTAGTTTAGTTAAATATATGGAAATCACCCATTATCAATAAACATTTTCCATTAAATTAATTACATTGCGGCATTTAATAGAAATATACATACACACAGCACAGTTATCCTTTTCTTCGCCAACTTACACATTGATTAAACAGCTATATCTTTCTCTCCTCTTATTTATAAATCACTTCCAACATATTTCACATAGACTAAGAAAAACCTTAAATTTCATTGATTCTCATTTAAAATTCAATAATTTTTTAACTTGATCCACATTTAATATACATTATGTATCATGTATTAAACAAAGTCAACATAATAATAAATGAAGAGTAAAATTAATATTGTATATCCATATAAAAATTTTTCTCAACACCATATAAATAGAACCCAAAAAATGGTTTTTTCTCTCTACTCTATAAATATAACTAGAAGAGTATTGGTTATAAACTTAATAAGAGTAACTGTACGTGATATTATAAAGTAAATTTTATTTGAAAGATTATTATAAGTTAAAATCTAATCAAAGATATTTATTCTAAGTCAAATAATTTCGGACGCATCAGATAAACATTCCAAAAATAAAAAACCAATGACTCAGTCATAATTTTACTTAAGATGATCAAACACGTCTTGAAGATGGATTCAACGTTGGTGTTTGTACTGTCCCTCGACCCAGCAGCGTGTGCGATCGACTAAAATATATTGGCCAATATGAAAACGGATTATAATAGGCTTAGTCGAAAAGTTTTGAATTATTTTTATTGAAGATGTTGCCTTCATGATCGAAGGGAAAAAGGACGTCAATTACGAACAATTATTGTGACTGTGGTCCTACAAAATATATGGTACCTCCTCGGTGTCCCGGAGACTAGAACGCGTACGTGTTGGATCTATCGAGCCAGTTAGTCACGCATCAAATTATGATGAAGGGGAGCCTAGGCTCCACATAAAGGGAAAATGAATAGTTAAAGATATATCTAGAAAATTTATATATCAGTCTCTATCATGGGATCCATTGATGTTCTAGGCCTTGCTTTCTTCGTGCTTGTCCCTGTTGATGCTAGCACTTACAGAAGGGGAGCAGCGTTAACAATGGTTTGCAGGGAGAAAGTATCTCAATCATTTGGGTGGCTTGGACGAGTGATCTTGGGATTTGGTTTAGAAGAAAAGCTCCCGACAATATATTGAATTAGCTTTAAGCCAATACGTTAGAATTTGTTATGCATCCCATGTTAACAAGTCTTGCAAATATAGTGTGGCTTATAATTTAACGGACTCCCTGCTAATTAACTTTCAACATCAGCTACCAAGATTAACTGACGTACAAATTAAAGTTGGGTCTGAGGGAGAAGAGAGATGAAATATGGCTTATATAGTCCGTGATGAGCAAAATTGTCAATTGATAACATAACCGATGATACAAATAAAATAGTAAGAAAATCTTACGTTCATGGAACCATCTCAATTCTGAGTATATCTAAAGAACCAACTTCTCCAGAAAACCCACAAAGCAATGGGGTTCTACTCCCACTTCCGTTTCTCTTCCCCTCCAATTGAGTGTTACCAAACGAGGCATAAACGTCCCCTGCCTGGTTGACTGATGATGACGAATGCTGACGCAAGTCGACGCTTTGCTTTCTAAATTCTCCAATGAATGGGAAGGCCCCATTAATTGAGAATGACTCTACTTCTAATTACCGATGGAGAGATGGCAGAGACTAAAAGCGTGTTCGTTGGGGTAAAATAAAAAATTAAGATGTATTCATTATTCGAAGTATTTTTTAAAGTGTATTCAGCATCTTAAGGTATTTTATGATGTATCCAAAATCTTAAAGTATTTTTTTAAGTATATTCAGTATTTTGAAATATTTTTAGTTCATCTAACACCCTAAATATTATTTAAGTGCGTCTAATATTCTAAAGTCTTTTTTAAAATGTGTCCAGCATCAAAGCAAAAAAAAATCAAAATACTGGACATATTAAAAAAAAAAAATTAAAATGCTAGATTTAGCTTAACCAAAAATAAAAAAGGCTTCCTGAATACGCTCCCGATGGAATCGTGACGGTGATGAAATGACTTGGCGGCCAATGAATTTGAAATGAGCAAATCATCATCAAAATAAGGATAAATCACTCATGCGCACTCTAATACTTCTCATGATATTCTATCTAATGCTTTTAAAAATATTTTAATTACCATCTTCCACATGAAATAAAACACATTATGATATATTATAGTTATAAAATGGTACCATTTGCACCTTTTATGATTTTTTAAGAAAATAAATTAAAATATGCAAAAAAAAATTTATCTTTTAAAGATCATGAAAGTATAAGTACAGTCGAATCGTTTTATTATAATAGCAGGATACGAAAATGTTTCTTATTTTATTTGGAATTTAAAAGATAATAATAAAGAATAATAATCATCCAGAGTCCTAATTTTTTTGCAAACTAATTTATTTCACTTATAATAATTTAGTATTTTATATGGATATTTTAGAAAAATAAATTTACATTTGTTATCATTAAGTAATTTCTTTAATTTCTTTAATTTATCTGAATTGAATTAGTTAAATCATTCTTGTATTAAGAGCTGTTGGGTGGAAACCAAATCATGATTTTAAAAAATAATTTTATGACATATGAAATGAATATATGAGAAAAGTTTCATCTCGACTTATTTAAAAATATTTTTTTAATTTATTTTGAGATCTCCCAAATATCCCCTAAATACCAAAAAAAAAATAATTAAGATATCTGAGCGCTAGATAGGAGTGTGGAAAGTGGGGTTGGAGCGTTAGAGGCCCAACCGGTGGAAGCTTAGGTTCACTTGATTGACTAGAACCCCTGCAGAAGCATTGGACAGGAAGATGGATATGCCATTTCTGAAACTGCTATTCTATTATCTCCTTCTCACCTCCTTCGACTTCACTTCTCCTGACGGAGACATCCCTACCTACTATGACCACAACTGCACCATTAATAAAAGCTTCACCTCCATTAGCCCCTTACCAGTTCAACCTTAACACTCTTTTCCGATAGCTCTTTCTTATACATTCTCATTGTGAATCTCATGAATCTCAATATGCTAATGGAATCTTAAGTAATATGAGTATAGTAAACTCCTAATATTTCTCAAAAACATAATACTACTATATATAGTTTTTTTTAACCAAACAGTTGATTTCTTGTTTATTTATTAATTATTCTCTTCCAAATATATTAAGTATTAAAAATAGTTGGACCTATATACTTCTTGTTTGGAGACCTTTTTTTTTTTTTTAGGGGATAGTTACATGCAGCGGAACCCATCCTTCAGGATTGAACTTACAACTTCTCTCTTTAGAGGTTGGATGATGTTATTGTTATACTATGCTGTTGGTTAATTGGAAAGTTCTCGAATTAAATTAACAATTGAAATATCAACTGTGTGGAGCCGGTAAAGATGAACACCCAAAGCTCATGCAGTCCAAACCTGACAATCTAGATTAAATTTATTTTTTATTTTTAAATTTTTAGAATAATTATTTTAATGGTTATAGGAATTAAAATAAGAATAATTTCTTATCTATATCATTTTTTAAACAAAATTATTTTTATTATTTTTACGCACACGCAGGCTTTAAGTTTTTGTCATAATTTGCAGTCAGAGAATTCAAGAATTAAAGTCAACGGAGATGCATCTCTACTAATTTAATTTTTAGTCAATTTTTCCTGTCTTTTTCATTGAAGACATGATTGAATAATTCTTAAGAAATAATTATCAAATGAAAGTAAGGGTAAAAAAGAAAAAAAATTGCTGACCTTTTGAAAACGAAAATAACAATTAACTCATAATTAAAATACAATCAT